GCCCTATTGTTCAGGACTTCCCGGACAATGAAGATTTTGATATTTTTAATATTAGTAGCTTTAAAAAATCTCTTGATAATATCTTTAACAATCAAAGCTTACAAAAAACTCAAGAAAGAATTAGCAATTCAAACAATCAAGTAACTAAAGTAATTAATGATCCTGAGGATGGTATGACTCTTTTCATTAATGAATTATATTTGACTTTTAGTAAACTATTTAACAAAGGTAGATCTGCTAAAGATATAATTATCAGTTTCGTATCTGAAACTGGTAAACCAATGAGGAAGCCTTTAATTGGTTATCTATTCATCACAATAATCCAAAGTATGTCTGTCTCCTTGGATTATTTTATAATTGGGATATTTGTACCAAAAAAAATGACGTAAACATATTTGATTTATTCAATAATGCGGCAAATTCGGACGACATTATTTTGTTGGAAGATGTTTAGAAATTGGTTTGGACGTCAAAAAAAATATGAAAAAGGCAATCATATGGTATACTAAAGCTAGTGAAAGTGGATGTGCAGCAGCGGATCGTATGCTTGGCGAATATTGTTATAAGCTTAATAGATATGATAAAGCATTTAATTTACTTATATGTGCTGCTGATAATGAAAATGCACTAGCAATGATTACTTTAGGAAAATTTTACCAAAAAGGTTATGGAACAAATGTTGATAAAGTCGAAGGATTTAAGTCATTTAAAAAGGCGGCTAAAATGGGTTTACCTGTTTCACAATATGAACTTGGAGATTGTTACGAATTCGGTAATGGGACAAAAGTAAAATTGGAGAAGGCATTATATTGATATCAAAAAGCTTCAGAAAATGATCCTCATTATAGAACACATCTGGTGTCGATCATAGGATCAATAAATTAAAACAATCATCAGAAACGCTAAATTCAATAGCCCTTACATAAGGTTATATTTCTAAGTACCTTTATTTTCATGTATTTAGTTCAGTATTCTTCATAAAAGTTTAAAAATTAGTTTGAAACTTTCAATAAAAAAAATAAAAAAAAATAAAAAATATGTAATTATGTATATATAAATTATTTGTGACATTATCGTTTATTAAATACTACTGTAGAAATGGACTTAACTTTTACATATTATGAGTAGTTTTTATGGAACTTAGGCCGTTCGAAGTTAATTTTTCGGTTAACATCACCCCCCCCAGCTGAAGCCTCCCCCACCTCCCCTTCGAAA